AAAAAAAAAAAGTCTCTACAACAGGATTATATGTTACACCAGGTTATCTACATAAAACTTAGAAGAACAAGAAGCAGCTTAGGTAATAATTTTGTAGTAAGTTCCATATGAAACTTTAAAAGATATGACACCATATTGTGTAGATTGCCCCTGTTAAATTGGTATTTATTGGAATATGTTGGGAAAAGTAACTTGTGGTTAACTCCCAAAAAAGGTTAAAAAAATTAAGATTCTTAACTTTTCTTCCAGCTGCAGTGGTCAATCAAGTGCCAACTTAAAGTAACCAGAAGAATCAGAATCTAGTTTTTTTTTGCGGTTTTTGGCTGGGGCTGGGTTTGAACCTGCCACCTCCAGCATATGGGGCTTGCACCTTACTTGGTTGAGCCACAGGCACCGCCCATTTTTTTTTCTTTTTTTTCAGAATCTAGTTTTAATTAGAGTTTATTCAAGTGCAAAGTTTGAGGACAAGCTGCCCAGGAAGAACAGGTTCCAAAGAATGGAAGTCAGTGCTCCCAAGTGTAGAAGTTTAGGAGTACCTAAAAGACGAAGTTTAGGGAATTTTAACAGAATTTCAACATCTTTTTATGTAAGGCCTAATGCATAGTTACAACAATCTGATTAGTTGAGATGGTCTTTTTCTTCAGTGAATAATTACACTAGAGATATAATTTGTGGGGTCTTGGGCACCATCTGGTCTGAGTTAGGTACAGGATAGTAAAGGAAGCAGAGTTAATCTATAACAGAAATCAGTGATTGGAAGCAGGGAAGGTCTGATCACTAGTCTCTGCTAGTCATTTAAGGAAAAAAAAAAAAGAACCATGAGGAAGAGGATTAACCTATACTGTGAGTAGCAGAATTGCAAACATGCTAAGTGACTAAGGCTCCAGGGCTTAACTTCTTCCTTCACATAATAAAAGGTCAATCTCTAAGGCTTAACTTTCCCCTTGAATAAATAAATTTAAAAGGGCAGGCCTGGCCAGTGGCTCATGCCTGTAATCCTAGCACTCTGTAAGACTGAGTTGGGTGGTGTGTTTTTTATTTATTTTTTTTGAGACAGAGTCTCACTATGTCACCCCAGGTAGAGTGCCGTAGAGTCACAGCTCACAGCAACCTCAAACTCTTGGGCTTAAGCGATTCTCTTGCTTCAGCTTCCCAAGTAGCTGGGAATACAG